TCTCCTAAGCCGGTCCGGTTCTGTCGAGTTTAATGCCCTCGAGGCGGTTCTGGGGCACGACGGAGAGCCTGAGCAGCGCCAGTCCCAATGCCAGTCCCGGTGCCAAGCAGCGGCCCAACAGGAAGCACGCCTCGCCATCGCTGTTTATTAGAAACGGGAGACGTCCACTCCCATCCACCGGGGGGACCTGCCCCTTAAGACGAGACGTGATTAATCTCAGCTCAGCTGAAGGCTGGCCCATTTTTCAGGTGTACCGCGTTAAAAACTCAAGGCTCGTGTCCTCGAGGGGTCTATAGGCATCTCCCCTCGGTATTTATTGATATTCTGTTTCCCCAAATACAGCCCAATTTGTCTCCACTGTCACATCCGGCTCTGGCCTCTTGGCAGCTTGGCTCTGAATCGCGCCATGATTGATAGGCTATCTCGCCACCTGTGTCATCAATAGATTTTTCATCCCGGGGAAAAGATATTTTGAAGAACTGTAATTGCCTTCCCCTGCTGCTAATTGCTCCATTCGCTAGGTGGACTAATAAGTGAAATGAATCCCCCTTTTTTAAAATAAATTGCTCTTTAACCGGTACGTGGAGCAAGAGCCAGGAACTCTGCTGCCTCTTATCTGCCTTCATTATGTTAATCCACTTGTTTTGTCTGAGATGAGGTGTAAAACTCGTTTGTTAGCACTTAGCCCTGAAGTGAGCATTCTGCTTCTGAATCGTAATTGTCTGTGGTATTTTTATATTGTGTTTCAGCATCGTGGCCAGCAGACAGTAAACTCCTTAACCCTTTGATCTTGGGGGCTTCAGTGTAGAGTGGCTGGATGACATCACAAGATAATTCAACCGAGTGGCCCTCACTCACCTTCTGTCTGGGGGTCTCAGTGTGCAGCACATTCATTATGTGCCCAGGCAATTAATTATCCTCTTCAGCCGTCTGCTCGACCTTTATTACAAGTGCAATATGTCTTTCTCCCCAGATGCACTGTAACAGAAAGGGGAAGTGTTCAGAAGGACAGGCGGGGAGCTGCGTCAGCATGCGCAGGCTGCAAAGGAACAAGTAAGAGGTTTATTCCGTGCTAAAAAGAGAAGAAAGAAAAACAACGTTTCAGCCGTGGAGCCTTCTTCGGGTGTGAGAAAGGGCGGGCAGTATCCAAAGGTAATGTAGCGGGAGAACAAAGGCTGGGAGAGAGGAGGAGCGAGAGGCGGGAGCAGGGGACAGAAAGAGAGGCCAATCAGGAGGTGTGAGGTCAGGAGAGGTGAAGAGAGGTGTGAAATGAAACCTCCAATGAATAGAGAGAATTAAGAAGAAAAGTAGTCTGTCGTTAAGAGAAGGGGGAAGGTGTGAAAGAGAGCAACACACAGGGGTCTATTCAGGTCGTTACACAGGGTTGGGTATAACGGGTGCAAAACCAGTGAAGTATTTACACGAATCCGGGCGATCTCACCAGACTGTCCGCCTGTTTTGCAGAGGATCAGCTGCACTGGTCAGCGGCTTTCCTCGTCCCCGCCCTGACCACTACTACTCCCGTCCTGCCCCTCGCCGCGTACCCCAGCCAGGCGCTCTTCAGCCGCAGCGCCGGGCGAATGCACTACAGTCCGAAAGGACCGGCGCGCCCTTGAGAGGGAGGGATTACGATCGGGACAGAAACTATGACCAAGAGTGGTCACATGGCCTGCTTTTCCAGGATCAGTTTGATGGTGGATAAATAAATCCAAAAGACCAAACAAACACTCGAAACCTAAACCACAGTAAACAAATATTGGACAGACTATACTGGAGTGCGTTCCAGAACCCAAAACTCCACAACCAGGTTTCCCTGCTCAGTTGCTCACTGTGACATTCCCTAATACAAGTGGACGCAAATCTTTATCTGGGAAGGGGAAGACTGTTTTCATGGAATAAATATTCTCGAACGTAAGCTCCCACTCTTTACTGATGCTAAACAGAGCCTTTGATTGTTAGATGAAATGCACCCAGTGCGAGTAAGAGAGACCGATTTCAAAGGAGATTTTCAACTGATACGAAAAATACAGCTGCTTTCTCCAAATTTAAGACGAGCGCCCAGCACCTGAGCTGGGTTTGGCTCACCAAAGAGGAATAAAAGTGTTGAAGTTTGTCGCCCACACTCCTGTCTTCCTGTTTCTCCTCCTCCTTAAGTCTTCTTCTCTTGGGTGATCAATCGTTTAAGTACAGTGCTGGTCACATGAGCTTGGCTGGTGTGGTCCAAGAAAATAACGCTGTTGAATATTTGGTGACTCCACTGAGTGTTTCGTACGAAGGCACAGTCAACATCCTATCCCACTCAATCTAACAATTTGTAAACACCTCATCCATGAGGGACAAATTCATATAACCTGCGTGTTCATCTTCAGCACTTGGCAGTATAAAATAATTTCTGTTATACTTCAGTGGCAGAGAAAAACGTACATGTTTTACCTGTGCTTCTGTTTTGTGTTGCTCTGAGCCCACAGTTAGGGGAATATAAATTCTCAGTGCTGGCAGTAATATGGATTGTTAATAAACGTCAGACGTGATGCTGCAATAAGACTGTGGTGGAGTGCAAATGTGCTCAGATGTTAAAACACTGAAATGTTTTTATACCTGCTGTTGTTGATATTATTTATCCTAATGATGGTGAAATAAATCCCTTATCTGTCAACTCTTGGTATGACAAAACACAGCCCCCCTGCAGGCCTAATCATGTGAAGCTAAATTGGAATCTACAGCTCGAGCTATTTGGCATGCTATCAGATTGAACTGTTTCAGATGCAGAGAGGAAGATGGAATAAAGCTCTTTGAATCCCAATGCTTTCAAAAAGGGCCGTGAGCTGTGTGAGGCTCTCCCCTCCAGATGGAAACGCAGTTTGGGTGATGTGTGATGTGGATCTGGAAGTAGGTTGCATTTTCACAGGACGCAGCTGCACAGAGCCCGGGAAAGGTTCAATTCGATTCAATTTATTTTATATAGCACCTTTCACAACAAGGTTGCCCCAGGGTGCTTAACAAAGCTGTGTGACAGTACACGACAGAGAAAAAGCCAGAAGACAACAGAGGAGAGGAACCAAAAACTCCTCTGTAAGGGATAAAGAAACCTCTGGGGGTCCAAGGTCAACTGGCTGCCCAAGCCCTCTGGGCATGCTTACATTATACAATTCTAAAAAAGTACTAAATGTGGAGTATTAAGTCTTCCAACGTATCCTTCTGTGTGCCAGTACCCCATGCAGTTCGCTGTAGACCAGCAAATCCTCCTAAACGAATGCTGTATTCGCGGAGTCCCTCTTGGATCCATGGCAGTGATGCAGCATCCAACTCAGATGGTGCCCAGCTTGGCACGTCATGCATGTTTTGTGTTGAAACTGGATAAGTTAAAGGGTTTTTTCATGCGGAGGTTCCCAGTTAAGACTATGCCACTCGCTGTGTCTCCCCAAGCAAGTTTCTCAAGCTTTTTGTGCTCCGTCCTTCAGCCGAGACTCTGTAAAGCACTTTAATGTTGCTTTTGGAAAAGGCTTGCCATCCTTGTGCTGAATTATTGATTATGGGTCAAAGAAAGAAACCAGGTGCTCCTGCTCCCCAAGAAACTCGTACAAGTGAGGCGAATCACTGTGCTGTATTGATGTCCTTAGTTTTTTCTGTGCAGTTGATTTAGCAAAGGCACCAGCGCAGTTCTCCTTTCTGAATCCCAGTTCATGCGTTGCCCTGAATTCTCAATCCCAGCTCCAGTTTCTCTCCTATCTCGATCCCAGATCCAGTGTCTCTCTCCTCTCTTGATCCCAGCTCCATCATCTCTCCTATCTCGATCCCAGCTCCAGCATCTCTCTCCTCTCTTGATCCCAACTCCAGCGTCTCTCTCCCATCTCAATCCCAGCTCAAGCGTCTCTCTCCTCTTTCGATCCCTGCTCCTGCGTCTCTCTCTCCTTCTCGATCCCAGCTTAAGATCCCGATCTTAAGTAGTTCAGGTGGGGACCTGCGTCAGCATGCATACACTGCAAAGGAACAAGTAATAGGTTTATTCCATGCTGAAATAACTCGCACCAACCTCACACCTGAAGAAGGCTCCACGGCCGAAACATTGTTTTCTGTCTTCTCTTTTCAGCAGGGAATAAACCTATTACTTGTTCACTTGCCCTTTAATGTTCGGACAGAACTGGGGCTTTGTCTTCCAGTCCAGTAGGGGTCTGGGGGATGTGTTTGAGTCAGGTTAGGTTTTCTGCAAGTTCCTGTTGGCTTGGGGATGGGGTGGGAGTTGACGTCACGTGTCTGCTTCCACTGTGCTCAAGCTGTCTGTGTTCATGGAGGAGGCACTGTCTTACATGGGGAATAAAGCCTGTCCCCTGGTCTCCTGAGTTGTTGCTGTACTCTAAGGTCAACCCTCATATTCCATTCCCCTTCTGTTCCACTATCTGAGAATGACTGGTCTGAGCACGACTCAGCTCCCACGGCTGGGTGGCTTGACATTTGTACATGATCTAGTGACAGGCAGCTCGGAGATGGAGGAGAGATTTCTGATGAGACAGGCCCACCGGGAGTCCCAGAAAGACAGGAGATAGACAGCCGTGTACAGAACCTGGATTAACCTCCCTCGGAGATGAAGGCATTCTGTTTTTCTTTTTTTATATATACATCCACTTCGTATTGAAGGGGCGGGGGGGAGCTCTGGATGTTGCTCAGGGGGTCTGAAAAGAAATCCTCTCAAAGGCATCCTGTGCGAGTCCCCAGCCTCCGTCAGCGAACACAGGCACCCAGCTTGGAATCAGGATTATGGCACACGTCTGAAGATCAATGAAAAAAGACAACATAAGGCGTTGAATTCCCATCCTGAACCTATTTGATTTCCGTTAAAATACATCCCATCTGGGTGCTCCATTTGATAGTTTTAGGCTCCTCTTTTGCTTACTGTGGTTCTCCAACCAGCATATATTCCACTGTGATTCCTGCCTTGTTTACCGATTTGTTCCTTTGTCTTCCCACAACCCTAAATGACTCAGGCTTTTATGTCTTCAGAGCGAGGGCCTGCAGACCCCCGTTTAATGGCGCGTCCATGTCAGGCTGATATCACAACGTTACAGTGCCACTGTCATGATGAAGCTGATGTCACAATAGCTCTCTGTCGCTTAATTCACTCTTGAGTTAAGGAGAGCGTCTCTCCCTGATAAAATCCCAGGAGCTGCCCGAAATCTGAGCATTCCCAGGACACCAACGACCCCACCTGGACCCAGTGATGCTCAGCCAGTGGTGATCCCCCCCTAGAATCCTGAATCTGGCGTGTCTCAAGCAACTTCCCACGTTTCTCAAGATTGAGGAAGGACCTTTTGATGTTTTTAAAGCTTTTTTGTTCGTTTGTTAATGTTGTTGCAAAGAGTGTGCATATCCAGCCTGACTAAATTCTGTGCAGATCGCAACGTCTGTTCTATAAACTCCAGAGATGGTCAGACAGGCTTTTAATATTTTAAACACTACAAGATTTTCCAGATGCTGTTAACAAGCCAGACTGTCCCACAAGCTCCCTATCCTCTCAGTGCTCTCTCATTCTTCACTGAACATTTTACCACCCTTTCTGAACAAGGAGCGAGCCGACATAAAAGAGTTCTGTTTGTTTTAAGATGTGTTCTTGACTTTTATGATGTCACAATAGCTCTCTGTCGCTTAATTCACTCTTGAGTTAAGGAGAGCGTCTCTCCCTGTGTTTAACTGCTTGACACCCTAGAAACTAACAGCACCCTTGGGAGACACTGTGGTCATTTTGGTCTCTCAGTCAGGTTTGCTGCTTGTGTGCTTTTTCCTGTCTCTCTTAATTAAATCGGTCGATTCAGTGGCTTCCCTCAACACATCACACCGCTGGGTGAGTAACGAGTTGCTTGTTGCTATTTAAAACACAAACACAGCTGATGAAGGGGGGTGGCAAGGAAGGGTGACTTTATCATGTTGTGTGTTTTCAGTTCTTCTGCTCGCTGTTCTCCACCTGCTGTTTTGGCCCTGTCCAGCAGGGGGAGTGTCAGTGTACTGCCCCACTTAATCAGGCAAGCCTGAAATTAAAGTGTTGAGGATACCTGAAGAACAGGGATAACAACATATGGGACCAACAGCCAATTATGCAATGTAAAAATCTAATACTTCTGGGATGCCTATTAGAAAACTCAGGGTCTAAGTGCCCCGATCTATAGGAATCTCATTTCTTGATGAGTATTTAATGCTGCTGTTTACGCTGGGGATGTAAGAGCTGGTTAATCAGCCTGCGTACCCTTTAACGTGCCCGCTACATCCATATTTGAATTATTCAGAGATTCCTTAAAGCGTTTCTTGTGTTTCTGTGAATAATTGAAGATGCAGAGAAACAGGTAAGAAAAAGAAGGCAGTGATAAGGCCTCAAATAGAGCATTAAAGAGGTCTGGCAGGCAAAGCTCTGCTGGCCGATCAGTAAATATTAGATGCAATTCTTGCATTCATTTGTAACTGGGCTTATTGACAGAAGCTCTGACTCCCGAGAGCTGTTGAGAGAAGGGTTTCTTTTCCTTGTTAAATTGTTCTGCACGGCTCACAGTAATAATAAGAGACCGCCATTCTCGAATTGACCAAAGAGAACTGACTTTTGAAAGAGCCCCCATCTGCGACTGTGAAATTGTCATCTTCCAGTAGCGCTCCAGCCCCTATCATATGAACAGCCCACATGAGGTTGCTGTTCTGCATGCTGCAAGACGCCAAGCTGATGAGTTTGTGCCTGCTCCAAATTGTGCTTGGTGTGGTATAGGTGGCTGGGTTTGCGTTGCATTACCATTGTGGGGAATCTGTTCAGCTCAACATGATAGAGCTTAAATAAGAGGACCCCCTAAACTGGGAACTGAGTAATATACCACAATTAACTTCGTGTGAGCTGTTGTTAGAATTTCTTTTTTGCTTAGACAAGCTGAGGCTGTTGGTGCCACCTGTCTACCTTCATTTGTGGGGGTGACAGATCCAGGAGCGCTGTTTGAAACTTAAATGCAGTAATATTTCCAAAGCAGATCTGACATTCTCGGTTGTTGTGGACACCGTCGCTGCGTTGGTTGGGAACCCACAGCCGATCCAAAGTGACGTTCTTTTGACAAAGGACGGGGAGTGCTCACGTTAACTGTTCCAGAACAGACCAGTGTGTCTGCCGAAGTAAACCCCGCGCAATCCGAAGGGACAAGGCCTCAGGTGTAACAATGGCTCTGTCGGACTCTCGGTGATCTCCTGACTTGTGTGCACGCAGAGACTGGCTGCCGGATCTGGATTAGTGTGTTCCTGAGTGGAGCATGGCAGTACTGCAGTGCCTGTTCAGTGCAGGGCAGCTCCACACTTCCCACAGGCACTTTCTTATCTAGAGGCTCCCGGCGGTGCGGCCCTAATTACATAACTACTTAGTTAACTGGCTCCTTAATTTAATGAATATGTTAAAAAAAAACAAGAGGAGAGGAAACAGTGTTTGACAATTTTAATTATTTCTGCTCTAGTGAAGTGACTCAGCGTTGCACTGCCTATTTGTTTTTTGGCTTTCTCTTTACGACAGGGCTCCTTGCTGGATCCTGCGCTGAGAGACTCCCCGTCCGCCTCTCGCAAGAGGGCTCAGGAGGCCCCGTCTTTGCTTGTGACCTTTCTCTGGCAGCAGCTAAGTCTCCCTGCTTTGGAAGTGAATGCTACAAGAGATCCCACTCCTGCAGAGGGATGGGAAGTTCATCCCCTATCCCCTCTGGAAAACCGGGCTGGGTTTGGGCTGTAGGTGTTTCAGAGCTCTGCAGCTTGTACCCCACTCTTCCTGCTCTGGCTGGTATTGTGTGGGAGGTCCCCCCTTTTTCCACCAGTGAGAGCAGAGGAAGGCAACCCTGCCATACAGGTGAGAAACAAGTAATAGGTTTATTCCATGCTGAAAGAAGAGAGAAAACACAATGAACTCTCTTTTCAGCATGGAATAAACCTATTACTTGTTCCTTTGCAGACTATGCATGCTGAGGCAGCTCCCCACCTGAACTTCTGCCGTACAGGTCCCTGAAAACACGCAGTGAGCAGAGAGAGCTCTAGAAAACCTCCGCCAGTTAAGCAACGGATTGATGCTTCGGAGTCATTCCATGGAATGGAAACCTCAAGACCCTCCTGCTCTGACGGCCAGGGTCATGGACAGGGGGAGCATTACCTCAGGTAGAGCTGGGACACGCACTGTGTGTCTCGAGAACACAGAACATGCAAACCTTTTACTTGTTCCTGGCTAACAACCACTCTCCGCCCTCTCTCCGACACACCCCAGGTGCCTCCCGTCCTCCATCTGCAGCTCCTGCCCAGTAGTGTTGACCTGCTTGTTGCTGGGAGCCGGGGGGTCAACTAGCTGAAACGCTGAGGGAGTGAAGCCGAGGGCGGACTCCTGTAGCAGGAGAAAAAAAAACACAGAAAAGGACAAAAAGGGAAAAACCGCTTTGCACAGCCTATTTAACGAGGGCCAGCCTGGGGGAAAAGGAGTGAGGCCAAAAGCAATAAGAAACTCAGCCTGCCACCGTGAATCCTCACAGCGGGACAGGAAAAAAGAAGCAAAGACGCGGCCTCAACGCTCTCGTCACAGTCCCCGCTGGGACTGTTGCTGGGAGTTCCTCCCCTTGCGGGGCTCTGCTCGTCCCTCCGGGGAGGAGCTCAGTGTGTCTTCCCCACAGCTGGGGCTCGTCCTTAACTAGCCAGGGCAGCTGTGGTTGCTAAGGCAACGTCCAGGGCTCCGCCTCCACACTGACCACGCCCCCCGGAATGCCACACACCCTTGCTTCTCACAGCCGCCCCTCCCCCCTGCCCCGCCCACTCCGACTCGGCCCGCAGCCTTGTGTCCCCACCCTACCCCCCCCCAGGGGAAGCATCTGCCCTGCATCCCCAGGGCCCCACCTCTGCTTCTGTAGACGGCCTCGTCCCTTCGTCCCCACCGGGGTCCCAGGGATGAAAGCACAGCCCTGTGCATGTGTGCGCTGGCAGCACAGGAGACAGAGAGAGAGGAAAACGCACTCTCTCACCGTGAGTCACTCACCGAGGTTTATTTCTGCTTCTGAAATAACAGGTGGGTGTTAAATCACCATGGAAGCACTGCTATTACAGTATAAGAAGTACCTGATTGTATACCCTGATGCAGTGAAAGGCGCTTTGTGATTGAATCTTTTGTACCGAATATGTAGGAAGATGTGTCTCAGTTACGTACATTTTCATCATTTTTTAATATTTTTTTTTACCAGGCAGTTGCATTGTACTATGAACATAATTATTGGTTTTAACTTTTGTCCTGCACATAACATTAATCTAAGTGTGATGCCTGTCTGGGAAAATGTTAGGAAAGCCTGCCTGAGCTCTGTTTGCAGTGCAAACAGCCTCAAAAGCAGTGTTCCCTTCCTTCATTTGGAAGCCATGAGAAGATTTGCAAAAATCTTTGTCCTCTTTCACTTATTGAGACACAAGAGCTCAAGGTAACTCTGTAGGGAAGGAAGCTATCCTGCCCACTGGTGCTTGTTAATTTCCTGTACACTAAAGCAATTCTGTCACAGGGCGACAGATAATTCAGAGGTGCACTTTCTAGCGTTGGTGCAGAATTGGCTTTTAATACATTTCCAGTGGTGTCCTTGTACTCGAAACGTGATGTGAAACAGCGATCAGCGTCACCTCTCTTGTATTTCCTTTAACGTTTGCAAAAACCAGTTTCATCCCAGAACGTTGTCTGTCGGACTGAAAAGATTAAGTTCCTTCGTAAGGAAGGGGGCAGACGTTCAGCGCCTCTAGATCGCTTGGCTGCCATTAACTAATCAATCTCGTCCAGTAGTTTGAATCCTTCCCTCAGCTCCTTAAATAAGTCATGGTGCTCCTTTATGGCCTTGCTGCAAAACCCTCTCTGTCCCTCTTCTTTAGTTATTTTAACGCAGAGCCTTGTGCAGCACTGCAGATGTGCAGAACGTACAGTGACCATACAGATGTGCAGGGTGACACGCTGGCCGCTGTGTCAGCAAGTGCACAGCACTGAGAGTGAAGCAAGAGATCCGTCATTCACAGCAAAATGACAGATTCGCACATTACACTGAGGGATTTGTTAGCTGCCTGCTGTAAAACCCTGGAAATCGGACACTAGAAATGAGTAATATGGCAGCACAGTTACTCATCTTTGTAGGAGTCTCTGGCCATTGATATTGTGCACAAAGGAGGCTTTTCTATGATTTGTTTCAGCTATTAGAAGGACCTCAGAAGTGCTATTCTCTGGATTCCTGCTTTTATGACCAGACAACGAAACAAGGCTAAAGACCAAAAAACTTCTGAGGCTGGAGAAGAGTTACTTGATAGTGTCCTCCTTCTGTGCACATCGAAGCACCTAATTTGAAGGCATTACTAGGTTACAAACCCCTAAGGTGTCGTCCTCACCATACACAGCAGGTAGCTGATTAATCCTGTTCATGAATAAGCGCACATTATTTTAAGACGACCGACATGACAGCCCTCAAAGATTTACCGGTGTATCAAAAAAGCATCCTTAAACATCACTGGACAGCCACTTCTGTCTGCTTACCTTGGGCCTTGTGAGGGTAGTGGGTGAAACAGTCACATGAAGCACGGTGACCTCTAACACCAAACATCACTGCACTGCTTTGCAAAGGTTTTAGGTCTTCCCTGTTTAT